ATTCATAGTGCTTTTGAAGCACTAGTTTACTGTCAACATAAATACTACATATACCCAGATTGATATTTGAGCCTAACTGTATTGTCACCTGAATGTTTCCCTGATGACATACGCTTTGTTTTATTAGTGTTCAATTCAACTTTATTAACATTCAACCAATTCATATTTTTTTAATATCACTATTTAACAGATCGAAAGTAGCGTCCAGATGTTTATGAGCTATACAGGGTGCTTTCAAAGTTGAGTCATTTATTTTAACTGCTTATAGGACTAGTTAAAAGGAGTTGATATACCACAAATCACCTATATTAAAGTTGTATAATAAAAGAAATAGTAAAAAATTAAAAAAATTAAAAAACAAGAATCTGAATTTATCTAAATTTGTCAAACTTTTTGTAATATTGTAATTTCGGTACGAGTCTTTGGTTCGATCAGTTGTATCAGTCGAAGTCGACCCAACAATGAGTACTAGAGCCATAGCAGCTCAAGTTGAAGTTTTTCTTAGTAAAGTGTGAAAAACAATACGACAATAACAGTATTATCCTGATCATTATCAACTGGTACAAGCGTTACAACCTGAAGATCGCCCTAGAAGAGTTGCAATTTGCCAGTGACCATTAGAGCAGTTCAGCAGAAATGAAGATTTGACGAAATTAATTTTGTGTACAGACGAGGCTACATTTACACGAAATGGAGTGCACAATTTCCACAACAATCATGTGTTAGCAGTAGAAAATCCGGATGCTGTAAAAAGAACTCATTTTCAACATAGATTTTCATTAAATGTTTGGGCTGACGTGGCGTGAAATTTATTTAAATTTTCTTCGACACAATCTGCCACAATTATTAGAAGGTGTTCCTCTAAATGTGCGATAGGATATGTGGTTCTTACATGATTGGGTTCCATCACATATTAGACGAGAAGTTCATGAACATCTAAATAATGAGTTTCCGAATAGATGGATGTGGCGCAATGGAGCCATTTCTTGGTCTGCTCGCTCCCTGGATTTAAAGCCTTGCGATTATTTTGTGTAGAGCTAGTTGAAAGAGTTGATGGAACACTAAATATTCCAGAAGAACTTCAACATCGCACTGAAAATGCTTGTGTTTCAATTCGTGGACACCAGGTTTTTATTTTTGAAGCTTGTAAAGCATCGTGGGTCCGACGAGCAAGATTTTGCATTAATCGAACAAATGGGGATAGTTTTGAACAGATTTTGTAAAAACGGTATCCATCTAACTTGATAATGATTTTTTTAAATAATTTTTAGTAATGCAAACTACTCTCTTATTGTGCAACTTTTACATAGGTGATTTTTGGTATATCAACTTCTTTCGACGAGTTCTACAAGCTGTTAAAATAAATGACTCAGAATATACCTAGTGTCCTTAGCAGGTGGCTCACCCCTATAACTTTATGATTTTTAAACATACACCAAAGAATTCAAGTATGTGGATATATCACATAAATGTGCACTGTGAGACGTATTTAATTGTTTACTTTCACTTCCGGCTTAGTCGGAAATAACGTTTGACTGGGACACCCGGTATATTTTTGCTTTGAATAGAAAATGACATTCCCAGTACAATGACGCTGCATTTGCTACGTTTCGACATCTAACTTAAAAATATTTGTAATTTTCATTCATTTTCACTCCAGTGTGCCACGAATATGATAAAATGGTAAAATCAGTCACAGAAAAATAGATTTGATTGTCTTTTGTTGTTTATGCTCGTAGCCTCATAAATCCTATTAATGTTCGTAAGCCAATTTTTTCAAATGGATCGAAAGTGGCTCCCTAGCACACCTAAAAAGAGTATTTTTTACTCACAATATGATACCACACAAACGATGTTGTAGTTAGAAGTATTCCAGAAAGCTCCACATTAATTACCCTATTATTCATTTTGCCATAACAGCATCAACCAGCTGTAGCGGGCATCGGCAGCCTTGACGGAAAACTAAGGTGGTTTAGGAGAAATAATGATCGGCTGTAGTCAGAAATCTTTCACATTCCCAAATAAATTGATAAAAAAATGATGCCTGCCTGTATTTCCTAATTTAATAATTAACCAAGCAGAATTATTCAAAAAGCGACAAGTTGATACGCTTCTTATTTTTAGAGAATGCAGGCAAAATGCCGTACAAGCTGCTAGAATTTATGCAGAAATTTTCCCCGAGCGCCGTCATCCAACTTCCCAAAATTGGTTCCAAAAATGCGGAATAAGCCTAATGAGGTGCAAAAAAATGATAATTTTTTTGGGAATGGGGACAAAGAAATCGATGTTTTGGCGTATGCAGAGATTAATATAAATGCTTTGACTAGAGAAATTGTTGCCGAGTAGCAAATTTCAAAAAATTCCGTGAGGAGAATTTTACGTAAGCGTAAAGCCAGTCTTACAAGTATCAATAACACCAGCATCTTTACGAAACTGATTATGAACGAAGGTTTGACTATTGCAACTAGTTTCTGCAAAAATACCAAGATGACAGCACTTTTCCTTATAAAATCCTTTATACAGACGAAAGTCACTTTACAATTTTTATCGTTTCAACAGAAATAATGAAAGATATTGATATAAATAAAATTTACACTTAATCGAAGAAGGAAATTTCCAAAAATGTTTTGGTCTTAATTGTTGGATGGAAATTCTAGGAGACATAATTTTTGAAGGGAATTTGACAGGAGAAAGATACTTGCAATTTCTTTCTCGTGAAATTGAAAATTTATTGCGTGAAATGCCTTTGATAAATAGAAATGGCATATTTTATCAACAAGATGGTGTTATCAGCCTATTTAAATAATACCAACAGGGAAAACTGGATTGGAAATAACATCTTTATCGAAATCAATTTATTTAAATATTTAGGTCATCCGATCTAATGTAACTAGATTCTTATTTATTGGGAACAATCAAAGACAAGGTTTTTAATATCCGTCAACGACACCAACCGAGTTGGAAAACAAAATAAGGGCGACCCTTGATAGTATTGCACCAATGCATCTTCATAATGTATTACGCAAAAGAATTGAGAGAAATCAACTTTACCGGCAACAACAAGGTGCTCATTTGGAAGTATAAAAGTATTTATTGGATAAAATACTTAAAACATATTTCATCAATTCTTGATTATACAATTTAGTTAGTTAGCAGTGTGTTATTTTGATGAAGATTGAAAGCTTTGGAATATTATTGTTACTACGTAAACAATAAAATTCACTATTTACGTAAAAAAATACTTTGTAGCTGTGCTAATGGGGCACTGTTTTGCGTTTGACAAAAAATGAGGTAATGCCATAGATAAACTAATAAAAATTAAAAACTACAAATATGAGATGTCAACAGGTAGCAAACGCAGCGACATTGTACTCAGAATGTCATTTTCTATTCAAATAAGCAAAAATGTACCTGGTTTCCTGCTTAACCGGAAGTGAGAGTAAACAAACAGTCCATATTTATGTGATATACCTACATATAAAATTTCATTTTTGTATCTTTTATGATAAAAAAAAAATATAGGGGTGAGCCACCTGCTACGGAGACCCGGTATACACATATCAATGTATCGTCCGCAAATATTCGATTTTTGCAGTGTTCTAAGTGCTTTACTTTTTTGACTTCAATTTACTAAATAATTTTGGAAGATATTTAATACTCATCCTCTAAAACCACAGTGGTATAATTTCACTAACAATATTTTTGCTGTATATAATCTCAAATGCCCTTTTGAAGTCTAAAAATACTGTTACAATACATTATTTTTCATCTTTACTTCTTCCACCTCCATTTGGATTGCTGTTTCTGTAGAATATTTTTATCCATTTTGAGTTTTTGTCAAAATTTTGTTTTCTTCAATAAATTCAATGATTTGTTCATATATTACCCCATCGAACAGCTTCTCGACATCTCGCAAGACATTAATCAGACGCATATTTGTCTATACATAGCTCACAATGGTGAACTTTTGGCACAACATTAAGTGGGAACACTTGAATTTTGATGGGAGGTCACCATGTACTAAACAATGATTCACCAATATTTAAAATGTCTCTCCAATTATATTTAAACAATCACTTAGAATATTTTTTTGATTCACTGATGAGTTATGATATATACTCACTGACATTAGAAGTGTTACACCCAGAAAAATAATTTATTCAACTTGATTTCTTTTTCAATGAGGTCGTCTTACATCAAGAATGAAACAATAACATTCTCATGAAATTTTATTGAGAGGTAATAAGAAACAAATAATAATAATAATGTACTGAGCGACCCCGCTCTGTTCTAGTTCAAACGATGACGACAGTGGTCCGCATCAGAGTCCAAAGGCTCGAATGCGGCGATAGAGTGTACGCATAGCAACAGATCTACCTTCTTCCCCAAACCATTGATCGGTGATCTGACGCGTAGTAGCAAAACGGTCTCGTAGAGTTAGTTGTCTGGAACGCCTATACTGATGCTCTGTGGTACGCCTCGGTGGACCAGTTGGCCCTCTTCGTGTTCATCTACCTTCTTCTATCCACACACGACAAACACACGTTTCGCGGTAGGACAAACCAACATCTCGATAGGCAATAATTCCAATGTATGGAGAAAATGTTACAGATATCGAAGCAACTACAGGGCGCATGAAGCGTAAAGTGTAACTGATGTTCTGATAGTCTACAACATGTTGTGGCTGACCTGCTGTAAGGCACTTTTTCCATTTGTCAGTACGGCTCAGTACTATATGTCTGGTGGTTTGCGAAAAATAGGAAAGGTGCATAAGTTGTCTACAAGTGGAAACCACAAATACTTAATAATTCTATGACACAGAAACTTATCTAGGAAGAGTGAATCAGAGTATAAAACCAAGTGAATGTGAGAAATCGATACTGGAATGGGCATGATGGTCATCTTTTTTTTTAGGTTACTATCAAAGCAGCCTAACTTTTGTGGAAATGTAAACGTCTGCTCATAAGGGTGATCTTGATTGTTATTCTCCTCTATTTCAGGTGCATACATAAGGATCAAGACCCTTGTTCGATGAACCTATGTGAGCAAAGATGTACGGTATATTTGCAACGCATAATTTGTACCTGTTTTGATGGATACAAATTCATTCCAGAAAATCAAAGAAGAAATATAAAACCTGTTTGTGTCGGTAAGTGATTTGTATAATCTATAATGATGAAAATAAGCAATCTTTATCCATTAAAAAAAGGCACAATAACATAAAGCTGATACCTGGTAAGGACAAAGTTCAGCTTCTGTTCTTATAATGGCAGGTATTCCACTTAACACAAAAATCGCACCAAACTATGTCTAATGCATTTTTCCCCCCGATATAAATGTGTGATTGTCTGCCCAGTTTGTCAGCATTACGTTTAACCTATAATACGCATAGTCGTAAAAAAATTTTACACTCACTAATTGATACCGGAGGAAGGTTGTAGACGTGGTTTTAGCCGTAAAAATGTACAGGGTGTTCAAAAAGTATGGGTAGATCAAAATATCTCGGAAAATACGTGTTCTACACAGAAGTGTAGCAGAACCACGTTGTAAGGTTTGAAAAGACTCTCATGATGTTGATCTTGAACGTGACTTTAATTATGGCCTTAGAGCTCATTTGATGGTCAAGATAATATGCTTAAATGGAAACCCCTATTTCTGACGTTTGAAATCTAAAAAGAAACAGACTTTATGTTCAAGTATGCCCATGACGTTGAGTATGATTATCAAGGTCACTTGAAGATCAAATGAACTTTTAACGAAAAATATCCATTTTTAATATCTGAAATGAAGATTCGGGACTTTCCTAAATTATCTTAAATTGTTCATTACCTTCAAGGTCATTTTTAGATCAGATAAGTTTTTGAGTAAACTCCTAACTGTTATGTCTAAGATGTAAAAAAACCTTTTGAGGTCAACGTTATTATGAGGTACTTCGTCACATTGACCGCCATTTGATGGTCAAAAGGTTTTTTAAACTCGAAATTTCTATTCTTGCTTCCAGAACATCTATTTCACGTCCCGATATATCTTCGACCATCTTAAAATCGTAAAAGATCGTGATCAAGGTAACGTTCAAGGTCACCATTAGATGATTATTTTTAAACCTTACAAACCTTGTTCCAAAATGTTCTTCAATAGGAAGTTCTGAGTTTGAGCCGACCGAAATTGTGCAATGTCTCAGGTAATCGTCAAAAATGTATTTCCAAACACTATTGAAGTAGCGATTTTGTCAGAAAAATCAGCCCGTGGATATGTTTTTTATACCTACTTCACAACCCGAGAAATATGTTCATTTACGCTACAAATACTTAACAATATTTACATGACTAGGAGCATTTTTGTTAAGATTATGCCACACAGGCGCGATACTTTACCTATTATTTATTGTGATTACCTTTGAGATTAATTTGTTGTTGCATTAAAATGTCAGATAAAAATATACGTTGCCAAAGTAATGATTTCGTTACTTGGAATATTGCATTCTCTTCTCCGAAACCAATCTTTTTCACATTAATGCAGAACGGATGACTTCTACATATACTACTTTCAGGTCAGGGGAGTGATATATGATTTTCGTTCGCGATTACAATACTTCTTCACCGGTGGCGTAAAAAGTACTATAGTGTCAAGTGAACTGGATAAATTTTTCTCACACATCCAAATTTGTCATTTTCCTTTTCGGTGCGTACCACCTTTTAAGCTCTTAAGAAGTACTTTAAGGGCCTCATTGAAGAAATGAGTTTTTACAAAATTCTTTTTGCACAAAATGGCTGCTATCGGTATATTCATGTAGCTGCAGATGTGTTAAAACAGAATCTTGAGATGCCAAATGCAACAAACATTTGCTTCTATGAGCTGCCGTGCTTTGTTGTTCCTTTGCACCGAATTATACTCCCACTGAATACAGGTGCATCAGTGATGGATGATAGTAACGCTTTCAAGAGGCGAAGCTAATTGCCTTGCTCTTGCTTTGTTATCGTAATTGGTGTAGCGAAGGATCGATATAATGTGCATGCTATATCTTCTAATCTCTGTGACATTATATCCAAGATCAGGCGGCACTTAAGGTAGGGTTTTAAACCTAGAAAGAAGCCATGGAAAAAATACAAAACAAATTTACACGATATTTTGATAATTTTTTAATTGGAAAGAGATGATGCAAGAATTGATGCTGAACTTTTATCCCCATAACTAGTTGGCTGAAGGAGCTTAAAAGTACATTTTATTCCATAGGACCGAAGAGGTGAAAGATCATTTTTCGGTGGCGGAAATGGGGAAGGAAGGAGACTTATAAAGTTTGGTTGATTTCAATAATTCTTATGCAAAAAGGTGAATTTCTCTTAGCATTTTGTTTTATACGGTTAAGGTATTACAAGCTGCAGTACCCTTTTAGTCTCGTCTCAACGAAAATCACTAAAGATATATATGTATTAAGATATTCACATTTTGGCTGGATTATGTGCGAGAAAACCTTGTCTTGTGTTGATATTCATCAGTGCGGGTATAAAAATCAAAATCAAAGGAAGATAAGGAGTTACACTTCATTTCAGGACAGTATAATTATTCAGTATTTTCCAGAGACCGCAACCCCATGCTTCTAACAAACGAACATTTCCCCATTCCACCATTCCTTCATCTGTAAAATTCCTATCAAATACTATAATGCGTCCCAAAGAAAGTTCAACACTATTAAATTAAATAAAAAATGCTACACATTTTAGAAAAAATATTTTTATTGAGAATGAGAATGAGATGAGCAGATTTAGAATATTATAGGAAAAGTTACGTAACTGTCCTTCATTTCATCCCATAGTGAGCACAATTTCACCTAATTGGCAAATAAAAATCAATAATGAATCTCACCATGGACGTAGTTATAGCTACATGTAAAGTAAAAATAAATATAGAAAATATCAATTATAATATAAAACATAATAAACTTACGACGCTGCTGCAGTTTGCACCTACATGGGACCCCCCATTTTGCCCTTTAGTATTCCACACGCAGGGTGCACGGCGCATGCACATATAAGTCGAGATTCTGCACGCAGAGTACACATACCTCGGCATCACACTGCGCTATCCCAGCGACCGAAAAGACCGTTCCTCATCAAGCAGTACCTGATTCAGCCAGCTCTCTGCGTCGTGAACTTTGCTCACTTCGTTCTCGAGAATATCCTTATCACTTACCTCAAAACTCTCAGCCTTCAGCAGAATGATGTCGACCTCATTTTTTATTCGTTCATTTCAATAGAGATAAACTTCATCGGTACTCAGAATATGTGTTCAGAACATCTACAACTAGAATACTTGATTCTTCATCGGCACATTTAAATAGTCCTTCTCAATGCTCATCTCTAAAATGATATGACCGTTCATTCTGCTACAGTTCCGCAACCTTTTACGTCAAACCACAGGTTTTGCATGGCATCTCTCTGGAGATTGCAAAGACTACATGTCTCGCAAAACGCCGCTAAGGCAGAATCACAGTCCGTGGTCCCACTACATGTCCCGTTGGAGATTACTCCGAAGAAAAGCTTCACTACACGACTTCATACGTTGATTGTGAACCTCTATTATTTTGTAGCAATTCACGATACACCATATATTTTAGTCCATTTTAAGAACCCCTTGTATATGTTTATATAGTTTTTATGTGACTGAGATCACTAGCGCATTCCGAAAATGCCAATCTGTTCTCTTCGGGGTACTTTTCGACACAATACACACGAATTCGCTATCGCACAAAATGAAAACTCTCGCAGGCCGGTAAGAGTGAGTTAGTTCTATCCCACTTTCTGATTTTACAAAACGAAATACGCGAGTAATATAATTTAAGTTATTGGAAATACCAGGGGAGCCTTAGTTAGCGTTGAGCTTTCAACGTGGCGCTCGCGGGATCTAATCTCCGCCACGGAACACCGTGCATGGATGTTGTGTTGTATCTTGCTTATATCACGCATGTAGGTGCAATATTAACGGTAGGTGCATCTCATCGCTGGAGCTAGTCTATTCAATAATGATTCACCAGTAGTTGGTTCTTGGACTAGTACAGTCTTGGTGCTATGGGGCCGGCAAACAGGCTCAAAGGTGGCCTAGCTGCGAGGATTCGCCTCCTCACTACTACTACTACCACTACTACTTTTTTCACCAAAAGATGCCTGGGACCTGATATCTAGTATCCGCATTCAGGTAATGCCACATGGGCTAAAGCCCCCTCCCCCACCCTCAGGGGTGTCCTCTTTTCGACAGTATATGCACTCATCGCTATCTGATTTTTGTATTCTGTCCGTAAATACTCGAAAAGAAGCATGCTGATCAGTACCTGCGTTAAATGGTAGTCCAGCCGTCTTCGTTTGCAAGCCATTCACTTTCCGATGTCAGGTATAAGCTTTTTCGTCCACTGAGCCACATCCTCTGGTAGGTGCCACTCGTCCTGCCATTTGCATATGGTGACTTCGCGCTCCTCCCTTCTGGCCCTAGCGGTTCTCCCATCTTCTCTGCGGTGCAGCCTCACTCTTTCTTGCATAAGCAACTGCATCGGTGCTATCCCTGTAATAATTTGTAGGGCCACCCTCATCAGCATTTTCCTTTGTACTCTGGTGAACATGTGCCTTTATCGTATAGTGCTCAGTATGTCATGCTAAATTGGGGTGCCATAAACTAGTGTTGAAAGAACCACGCTGTTTATAACCTCCCTTTTGTTGCTGGTAGGTCTACTGATGCTTGACATAATTCTTCCCATTTTTCCCTGCTGCCCTTAATGATTTTCAGGACTTCATCCACTGCCATCAACGTATTCATACCATTTCTGAATCCGTACTGAAATTGTGATAAACCACCCTTGTAATCTATTTCCTTCAGTAGCCTAACGAGTATTAATAGCTCATACTGCTGGCTAATTGTCAAGAGCAAGCAAATCTTTAACCACCACTTTCCTGTTTCTGCGACGTCCCCTATCATTAATCCATTTTTCGTCTTTTCTGACAGTCCTATTAGGTTCCCCCACTATCAGTAGGTCTATATTATACTCGACTACCGTGGCAAAGGCTATATCGTGGGCTGCTCTATCTCTGCCTACATTTATTTGCAATATTCTCAGCCTTTTCCGTTGATTTCGTTTTGACCCATTTGTGGCATTACCTTGGACCGTACCTGACATTTTTTCCAAAAAGGGTCCTTTTGGCAGCCTTTCGCTTTATGTCCCATTTTTGAGGAACTTCGCCATTTTTCTAGATAACCTGACAGTTGCAATCCTGTTTGCATCTCTGGTGCGCCTCATATTCAACACCTTCACTGGTGTTGTTATGCCTGCGTGGGATGCCTCGTAGATTGCTTCCTCCATCTGCTCCTCGGTGACTGGTGTATACAGGGGCATCGGTTTTGGATAGCAAGACACCTACGAGTACATCCTTGAGCTGGGTGGCAATTTCTTTTCTAAGCGAGTCTGCCTTCTCATCACCTCCTTCCACGTACAGCAGTCCTCTCGAGGTCTCTCTTACATTCCTGACTTTAACACCGATTTTCCCTAAATCGATGTTCTAATTCACTGTCTTTAGGAGATCGGCGTACTGCCGGCAACCTTTCTTAACGATCACTGCTTGAGATTGGGCTTGTATTTTATTTCGCCAGGGTCTGCTGTGTTCTTGATCTTTTCCTCTAGATGTCAGCAACTTTATCTCGATGTCCGTTTTGTTAAACACGTACTATAGGTTCTTCCTCGCGTACGATTTGTCTATCCCAACATCCGCTATAAAGGTGATCTCCCTCATGTTGTTTACTCCATTTTTGTCTATATCGACAGGTAGGATGTAAACAAGTTGGCTTTTCTCTTCGTCTCTGTTTCTGAAGTTTACCTTTGTTATCTTCTCGGAGCCTTTTGGTCTCTCACAGTACTTTCCTGACCAATCCTTAGATTTAGTGAATCCATTATCTGGTTTAGCCTTATAATATCCTTCTTAATATCTTCCTGCGTGTTTGGAGTAGCCTTGATGAGCCCCTTTAGCGTAGAAGCGGTTTTCGTCACCTTCTCTATGAGCTTTTTCATTTCCTCACCATTGTCCTCCTTGCTTCTACGTCATTTTCCCGATTGGAAAGGTGCTCTACGCCTGGGTAATTCTGTAGTTGCGTATAATGTTCCTTCACTCCTTACTGAGCTCATAGAACCTACCTTTGAGCCTCTTGATATCCCTTTGTAGGATTGCTCTCTTCCGTGCCTCGCTGTTGACTGTGTATGTCAGACTACGAAGATGATCTGTTCCTGGCAGGCGGCGTCCTTTTCCTTCTTTTGAAAGGGTCAACCTCCTCCTCTCTATCCGGTCTTTCAGATTGTGTTTTTTTGTAATTTATCATCCATCTTGTTCCCACGAGTATCTATGGAAGGCATCGCTTAGGGCACACTTCTCTCCTTGTGACATGCAGCCCTCGGCACGATGTTGTTTCATCTTGGACTTGGGAGGATTTTCAAGAGTTACTCCCTCAGAGCTTCCGTTTCGCCGCCATGTCGTCAACAAGCCACAGTGACTCCATGTCATCGCCCTGCCGTCGTATCCGTGCCAATGTGTCGTCCGCCCGTTATTCCAAAAATAGTTGCATGGTCCACAGCCTCCCTCTTCGAGTCAGTATTCCTAGACCGCCTGCCTCCACCGCGGCTTTAAGAGTCCGGTCTATCCGTTGACAGCCACCCGCTCCGGATCAGCCACTGTCGGAATCCTCTGTGATTGGTTCTCGTCACCGGGGTTTTTTACCCGATCTTGGTTATCCAAGAAAAGGTCAGGGTGCACGTGTGACATACTTTGGTGTACCACTTGCATGTCGGTCACGGATGCGAGCTGAGCTTCACACCCCACTATTACTACTACTATAACTGAATATACCAATAATAGCTAGAGGCGGACTTGAACTGTCACGTATTCAGCGTTAGGGCGCGGCACAGAATGTCTGCAATTCTGGCGGGGCCTATCATAATAGTAACTTGACATAATACAAACAAAGCAGTTGCTCTCAATGCACTCAAATAAAAAACCATTGTCGTTGATATTTATTACCTCATCATAGGCGGAGCAGTCGATAACATCTCCAAAAATGTGTCGTATTTTCTTATCCGAAGTCCTAAATACGAGTACTTCCAGGAACACATTCATTCTAAGTACTACATACTAATGGGCAAAATCCGTAATTGGCAAACATTTTTCTAATTTTTGTTATATACCGCATGATCATTTTCTCTTTGTAGATCCATTGGGCTTGAAGTACCACAGCACGTGGATATAACCGGCCGCGTGGTTGTGGTTAGATGTCTCCTTGAAAATTCGAGGTCTTCTAGCCATTTTATACTACAATGTGTAGGTTGGCCCTTGTGGTGGACTTCGTGGATCGTTTTTTCCCTCTCCATCGTCGTTTCCTCAGGTGACACCCATATCCAGATGTGCGGGCATGTGTATATGTTTGCAGTTTCATATGTGCATTAATTTCGGGCCTGATGAAGCCAACCAGCAGAAATATTTATCGCTCGGGTTACCTATCCTATTTTCTGCTCGCATCCACTTTCCTCCCTTTTGCAGATTTTGCCCATTATATTCCTTTCTCTGCATTTTCATTTCCCTCTCTCTCTCTATATATATATAGAGATACTAAATGACATAGAAGATGCAACACCGACTAGGTGTGCTGTAATTTTGTAAAATGATTAAAATTTTAACTCGTTTAGTTCGCAAAATAGCCGAGATATCCCACTCTAATGTTAATAAGGTGCTGTAGCTCCTCTGTTCGTTACACATTCGTTAAGTCGTCGCAGCGTTGATTGGATTAGGTGATTGATATCTTCTTGGTGTATTGTATCCCAGGCCATCTGAATTTGGTTTCGTACAGCCTCCAATGTTTGTGGAGGGTACGGTGAATTTTGCAACCTTCTTCCCATCATGTCCCATACATGTTCGATGGGGGAGAGGTCTGGAAATCGAGGAGGCCATTGAAGCAGATTTACTCCGGACGCTTCTAAAAAGTCTAAACTAACACGTGCGACCTGAGGTCGTGCACTGTCCTGCTGGAAAAGTGGATCTTGCAGTCTTTCTAAAAAGGGCAGAGGATGTGGTGGTGAAACTTCGTGGATATAGCGCTGGGCAGTGATGCTACCTCGAATGAACACTAATCGTGGCCTGCAGCCGTAAGCAATGGCACCTCATACCATAACACCCTCAGTGCGATGAATATGCCGTTCGATGGAATATTGAACATTCCGTCTTTCACCACGTCTCTTCCCTACTCTTACACCGCCATCATATGTGCCCAAACAGAATCTGGGCTCATCGCTGAACACGACTGAGTTCCATTCCATATTCCATTCAAGTCTCTCCTTACTCCATACCAATCGTTGCCGACGATGCTGTGGGGCCAGAGGTAGTACAAGATGGGGAAGGTATGAAAACAGTCCAAAAGACCTTATTCGGCCATAAAATGTCTATATTGTTACTGCCCTTTCGACATCCTGAAACCGCTGGTTCGCACCTGCCCTTGTTGTGGAAGATCGATCTCTAAGTCCGAGTTTCCTCAAATAACGATCGCTCTGTAGTCTGTCTTTGACGTCCAACATCTCATCACAGTAGCTTCGTTTCGATTCACCCGATTAGCGATTTCTATAAAAGAAAATCCGCCTTCACGTAACCCGATTATCCGACCCCTCTCAAACTCGTAAAGTTGAGTGAAATTAGCGCATCTGTGAGTTCTAGGCATTACCAAGCAACAATGAAACAAATGAAACCAACACAGAAAAGTCGCTGAATATTAAGTACACATGTTCATATATTGTTTGGAAACTTATATGACAAAAAAAGCCTTTACAAGAAAAGTACGGCTCGGAAACATTTTATCAGCGTATACTTTCATGATGGCAAACATGTTTACAAGTTTCTACCAAATTCAAAAAATAATTCTGGGTGCATTTTATATGTCAATTAGTATATTTACTCCGATATCTGCAACATTTTGCCCGTACACATTATGCCGGGCACGTTTGCTAGAAATGGAAACGGTCTGTAACATGTTGCATGTCGCAGTCCCTTGGTGCAACTTCGTTCTCGCTGTATGTGTATCATGTTGCAGACCGTTTCCAGTCCTGATGCAAATGTGTTCTAATCGAAGTAATCGAAACGTACCACCCGATGCTTTACCATTACAGACATTGACGAGTGTGCCGAAAGAAATGGAGATTGTGAGCAGCAATGTGTCAATTTCCGCGGCGGTTACAAATGTGCATGTTGGCCGAGATATCGACTTCGAGAAGATGGAAGAACCTGCGAGCTTGAAGGAGAGTCTGCTGCTCCCGAAGTACCTGAAGAGGCTATGGCAGGCAGAGTAGGCAAATGTTACGCGGATTGTGGAAGCGTTACTCGAGTAGCTGCTAAGCTGAAGAAACTGCAAGAAAAGGTACTACTTCACTGACCAGCATTGCTCTTGGGAGTCTTGCGGTCAGATATTTTTTACTATTTCCATATGCTAAGTCTACCGGATGTTTCAAATTCGACTCTTACCATTGGGATTTCATAAACGGTGATAGATATAAGGTGGGTTAGTGAAGGCAACGTTTCTCAGAAGACAACTAAGAAAATGGCACTTAGAAAGTTTCACAATTTAGAATATTGTCACGCCTCTTTTTATAAACAAAAGGAAATGGTGGTGTGTTTTCTCCTTACTTTTTTTTCGAATTAATTAATAAGTTAATATAGCACGATAAATAAAATCAAATAGTGAGTCAATGCAAAACAGCTGTCTAGTGGCGTGCAAATTTAGTCCCTAGATCAATAAAGCGGAGAGTAGGGGGGTTAAGAGCGCCAGCGACTCAAGGCGGATTAAGCCACACACAAAATTCTGGTACATTTAATAATTACCTGAATACATTGACATTTAACATGATAATTCGAATAAATACCTTGAGTTCAGTTTAGAAGATGCTGGAAATGGTTGCCTTTAACTGCTTGACACAATAACAGCCGGTCCATCATTTCGCGTCGAACATTTTCAAACATATTAACATCGATACTTAATAATAATAATAATAGACGTATTTATTTATCCACAATTACATTGTAGTATAGCCAAATGTCAGACTTATATGGCGAAGTTTAGCATGCTGCTACTCTTACACTTAACCATATAGTCTCTAGCAGATGTTCAAAAGAATACACTATCCACAAACAGATTTGGTTCATTACATCTAAAGTAAAATTTAAAAAAAGAGAAAAAGGCATACTTTCCAAACCCAAATGCACCAAAAAATTATTAATCTGAATTAAAGATGGAATAAAAAAGAAATGAATGATTACGTAAATTATATGTTTGGAGGGTTGAGTAATAATGTTTTACCTTTTTGTCGAAAGACAGGTAATGAAAATTCTTTATATACTTTAGGAAGGTCATTATAAATAATATCAACATTGTAAGAAAAACTGCGTTTAAAAAGTGTAGACGTATGCAGGGGTATTCTAATATTATTTTCTCTGAGAGTTCTACAGTGAACATCATTATTGAATGAAATTTTTTCCTTCAAGTAATAAGGTTTAGACGTGAGCAGCAATTTGTGAACAAAAACTGAATCGTGATACTTGACTATGTCATTAATTTTTAACCAATTCACGTAAGCCAAAAATGAATCGTATGCAATTGTTTTGAATAACTTGAATAACGTTTTTAGTGAAATTGTCTAAACAAGTATAGTATACGATATTACAATAATTTGGTATAGATATGACCAATGCTTCACATAGTTTTTTACGGCAACTTAAAATTTAGTATATAATTTAATACCTGTTTGTTATAAGAGTGCACAGCCGTAGATACGTTTTCTGAGATAGAATTTTAACATGTTCAATAAACCTTAATTTTGTATCAGAAACAACACCAAGAATTTTTGCAGAATCAGAAAATTGCAAAATTTGGTTATTTATCTGAATGTTCAAGAGCTGTGTTACATTGTATGTTTTTCTTTGTGCGCAAAATAATAACATTTTAGATTTTTGTGGATTAATAAGTAGATTGTGATCTAAAGAGTATTTAATTAATTTATTAACATCGTTTTGTAAAATTTGAGTAGTATTATTGACATTATCTGAGTTAAAATAATGGAGCAATTACGTATCGTCTACAAATATTTTTTATTCTCAGCCGTATATCCAATATTGAAGCAGGTTCAGTTTCTTACACCTTTTGCTTCAAACAGCCCCATAAAAAAAGTCTAAAGGTGTCAAACCTGGCGAGCGAGCTGGCCATTCCACAGGACCTCGACGGCCAATCCAACGCCCGGGGAAATTGTTATCTAAATAATTCCTACCTTGTCTGTAGTAGTGTGGTGGAACACCATCTTGCTGGAGTACAGTATCAGTATCGAATTCATTAGGATTCGCTTCGACGATTTCTGTGACTAGAGGGTCGATAGTATTTTCCAGCATATCCAAATACACTTCCCCGGTTAAAGTTTGTTCGATGAATAGATTCCCCACAATATGATTTCCCAATATCCCAGCCCAAACGTTATTTTTTTGTGGATATTGAGTATGAGTTTCCCGGAAGACGTGAGGATTGGTGTCACTCCAATAATGACAACTTTGTCTATGCACGTTACTGTTGAGAAAAAATGTACATTCATCACTAAAACAAATATTTTGGATATATTTAGGATGCTGTGCCATGGTTTCCGTCATAGTCTCGCAGAATTCTGTTCTTCGATCAGGGTCATCTTCAGTTAGCTTATTTGAATTTTGTGTGGGTGATACTTATTCTTTTTCGAAAGTCTCCATACAGTAGAAAGAAAAACCTCACATACATTCGCGATGGAGGGAGTAGACTGATGGGGATCTACTATGATCTCACCAATTATTGGACCTTGCTTTTCTTCCGGGATGGTCGGATGAACTGAGGGCTTTTTATTGTTTACACTACCTACCAGTAGCTGTAAATTTAGATACAAGTTCCCTAGATAGGACGATTCGGGAAACGATCATTAAAAATCATTTCCGTCTCGTGAAAGTTACGCCTCGCACCTTAAATAAAAATCGCTAATCGCTTCGATTTTTTCTTCCAATGGACAAGAATTGACCATTTTAAAAATCGTTCAACGAGTATCTAGCACTAAAACCGAACACTAAATAAGAATATTTTAACTGTACAATGATGTTTGTTTTCGTACTGATATTCTTGTCACTGTCAACAAAAAATAACAAAACAAGTTTTTATCGCTGTTGCTGTGGATACGGCAGGGAATTACAATTATTTGTAGAGATATGCATGTCCACCATTTTGTAGTAGGTAAAGGTATTAACTTTATCTTCTAGGCTTATAAAGTACTCGTCAGTAGCTTCAAAATGATGTGCAGCAGGACCCCCGTTTTCATATATTTTTTCTTCCCAGCGGCCATCTTGACTTTTCCATCAGTTAATTTCATTCTAAAATATGGTATCCACTCATCAATTTCATTATCTCAAGTTTTAATTTTTTGAATTGATCCTTTCAAAAAATCAAAGGGGAGGGGGACATTAAAGGAAAACACTCTATATAAATGTTCATTTCCATTTTTACGTTCTCAAGGTTGCACATTCCATATACTCAGCTTTGTTATAAACTGCATTCGATATTATTGAAATATTTTTTACCTTGGTGTTTAAATGGAAAATATTACTGATTTGCTGTATTTTAACATGTAATTTATGAATAATTTTATGCAATTGAATTAGGATGATTTTTTGAAATGTGTTACGGCAAGTATATGTATGGATTTTTAATATTTTGAGTTTAGTATTGTTATGATTATTATTTTGGAACAGGCTATTGTATATCTTAACGTAAGTTACACATTTCTAAATGTAAACAAGATTGCAAAACAAAGTGCCGTTTTCACGCATTTAATACACCTCGTATCTCATACCGTTTCAGAGATCTCAATGTTGATCCTTACTTCTTTGATTTTTATATGTACTTCGCGTAGTTTAGTAAACAATTAATGCATAGTAATCGATTTAATTTGAAGTTTATGATGCTGCTGTCGGATATATTCCTTAATGCACTACCTTTGTGATGACATACAAGAGGAATGACATCACCGTAATTATAAAATTGTTTCATTTTTATTTTCACCTGTACTATAGTATACATACTATATGGAATGCTTTGAAATAACAGCTAAAGCGATAATATTGCATGCTCCTTATTATTTATTTTTCCAGAAAATTGCAGTATTTGTGTATAATCAATGAAATGAATTATTTATAGGAATATTTAAGATTTGTATTAGCTGAATAACTCCTCAAGTTACTTTGTTAGATGTACCCCTGTGTTCATACTTCAATTAAAAATTTGCTAAGAACAACGATCAGGAGACTATACCGCTTGCATGGTTGAAATCAATATTGCGAGCATTAAGATTTGAATATAGTATGGTACACAAAATCTCTATCAACTTCAGGTTTCCGCACTGAGCACCGCCATAAAACTGTCCAGTTTCGCGTCAGGACCTCCAGGTACATTAGGACAGCCAGGCCCACCAGGTCCACCAGGACCGCCCGGAACCCCAGGAATGCCGTGTAAGCGCTTTGTGGTATACATGAGAGGAGGAATGTAATCTTGGCTCAATAATTAGGATACAAGCACAATGATCTCAGGTTGTAATCATATGCAAACCATCAGGCCAGAAAGGAAGCTTGTTCAGTATTTATGTCGAGCTTTCGAGAAAGTCTATTTTCTTCATCGGGATGCACTACAATGAATATTGTATGGCAATTGAAATACATTACAATATCATTAAGAAAACTTCTTACAACGTTGCCGCATTTTAAGGGGGGTCTTCTATGTAACATTGTTTCCTCGAGGGCTTCATAAGAAAGAGAAATTTTAAAATAAAGTATTTTTTTTGATATCTTCAAAACCGTCAACTGGAATGAACTAAAATTTGGTATGTGTGTTTACCTAAGTATTGTCCACAAAATTAGCATGCACCACTGGCAGAGATACAGGTGACTAGTGGCATTATTATCTGAATAAAAATAGTACGTTACTGTTTTTTTTTTCGTAACGCGCAATTTTTCAAATTTTACCTTCAATTTGTTACACATAAATAATTAATTACTCTTGTGTTTTTTCCTAGAGTGCACTGTTTTTGTAAAAATAAAAATAAAACAAATTAGATCATTCATGAAGAGCCGATATACAGTTAGTTTCAAAATAAAATAGGAGGCCTTGATACCAACTTGACGTTTCTTGGGAGATATTTCTTCAAAGTTATGTGTTATATGGTTGTTATCGTTACTATTACGATTTTATTGTAAATATCAAGTAAAAAGTTTCTTTCTACCATTTTTGTGTGTTGTGAAATGGAATTTCACAATGATAAGTACGCAGATATCATTTTTATGTACGAATTCTGTAATGGAAATGCGGCTTCTCGGAAGAATCAACGTAGATTTTATAGCAGACGCCGACCTACCCCAAAGGATCATTTCTAATACTTCGGCAATATGAAATTGACAAACTTCTCGGAGTTAGAGGCCATGGTGTCTGGCATACTGTTCAAGAGGAACTGGAAGTGATTAATTTGGCCTTGGATGATCCTAGTACAAGTACTAGGTGGATTGCAGCTCAGTTACCATGTTACCAAAGTCTTGCGTGGAGAAGTTTAAATCGGGAACTTTTACATCCTTACTATCGGCAAAATGTTCAATGTCAGAAACCCGGCGACGAAGTGCATCGGCGAAATTTTTGTGAGTGGTTACTGCAAATGCGTAATCAAAATGCACATCTTATTGATTTGGTTTTGTGGTCAGATGAATCGCTTTTCACGTGGAGTGGAACCGTTAAATCTCATAATGAACATATTTTCAATGGCCAACTATTTATGCACGTATTGCCCCAATGTTAAATGCAAACCCATTAGCTTTTCTAGGGAATTATGGTACATAGGAAATGTGTTAGATGATGTTCCTTGAGTAGCGAGAGTACAAATGTGGTATCCACGGTGCCCCACCGCATGTTCGTCGTGACATAACCACTTGGTTAAATAATCATTTTAGCCATCGATCGATTGGCAGAAACGAACCCGTACATTGGCCTGCGAGGTCTCCTTATTTGAACCTCCTGGATTTCTTTTTGTGGGGCGCCTTTAAACATCTAGTGTATGCTGAACAAATTCATAATGTTGATCTGTTACAAGAAAGAATAGATAATGCGTTTCATCAAATTCAAGCCACAAAAACTTCTGTGAAAATGCATTTTTCTTTATTAAAAATATGCCGCACTTGTATCCGTCAGAATGGTGGTCTTTTTGAACATTTATTGAAATACAGCTTTGATTATCTAATTAGTTTTTATTTTTACGAAAACAATGCACTCTGAGAAAAAACAAAAGAGTAATTAATTCTTTGAAGCAAATTGAAGGTAAAAACACAGTGGTGTACAATTTTTATTTGGAAAAATGATGCTACTAATCCTCTGTATCTCCGCCACTGGTGCAAGTTAATTTTGAGTAAAAACTTTTCAATGTGGACAATACTTAGGTATATCCACATACCAAATTTTAGTTCATTCTAGTTGACGGTTTTGAAGATATTAAAAAAAATAGTTTTTATTTTTAAACTTCAACACCTCATAACCTTTAAATGAAGTTCTCGAGAAAAAAAATATTACATACAAGACCGCCCTCAAAATGCGATCGTATGTATAAGGTTTAGTTTTGGTCACGACTTGTGAATCACCCTGTATATACAATATACAATCAATAAAAAATACTTAATCATCTTTTGAAGCCTTTCACTCTTGAAGTGATTCGTATTAGTCAATAATTCAATTGGTGGACTGTGCGTTAATAATATTGTTCAACAGTTAATGGTTTTTCTTCATCTTCTTGGATTCCGTGTATCGAAAGGGAATTTCAACGTTGTGAGCAGTTTTTTCAATAATATTGTAATGAATATATATCGCTCATCGACTGTGGAGTCAGGGCAGCTGGGCCTTCTTGAATCCTGCCAAGGGGCTTACTGCCATCTTAGTCGAATTGCAAAGGGAGGATCCCATCCTTCTAAGTACCACTATTTTCCAGGCGGAAATCTTTGCGATTCTGGCTTGTGTATCTCGCATTCTGGAGGAGGTTGGGCCTAGGAGAAGAATAACAATCTTATCCGACAGCCAGGCTACAATGAAGGCACTAAGTGTCTGTAAGATTACTTCGAGTCTTGTATTGCAATGCAGAGAGGCTCTGGATTGCCTCGCAGCGAGGCATCCGGTATCGTTAATGTGGGTACCGGGGCACGCTGGGATAGGGTGCAATGAGACGGCGGACGCTCTGGCGAAGACAGGATCAGCCAGCAAGCTCGTTGGTTCTGAGCCAGCTTTAGGAGTGACCGCGCATAGAGCTATCAGGAAAACGGAGACGTGGATTGGAAGACAACATTCTCAAAAATTGAGAAGTATCTCCAGAGATCTCCGCCAGGCACGGGAACTGATTGAAGGGCCCAGTGCTAAGGATAGACGTTTCTGCTTATCTCTGGATAGAGAAAACCCAAGGTTGCTGGTGGGACTGTTGTCTGGCCATAACACGTTAAGGCGCCACCTGCACGTGATGGGGGTGGCTGAGGATCCCTTGTGTGAGCACTGCAGGGTAGAGGAAGAGACCTCGGCGCACGTTTTGTGTCGCTGTGAAGCTCTGAGCTACTATAGGCTGACTATACTGGAGTCCAATACTTTGGACCGTCAGGACGTTAACGAGCTTGGACTCAAGGCCATACTAAGCTTGGACTCAAGACGATTCTCAGCTTCGCTAAAAGGGCGAGGCTTGTGATCTAAGGAATTTAGAGGTGGATAAGGGCCCGTTTAAGCGGCCTATGCACTGGCTCCTTATGGTGGCCGGAATGCCTCTAATTTCACGATTCATTTATTCAATGAATATATATTGATATTGATCTAATAATTTTTACTAATTAACATAGGTACATTAACCGAAGTCAAGGAACCTCCTCCCATTCTCCTGTCTTGGAAAACGGGAAATCCTGCTTTGACTCAGGGAATAAAAAAATGGTCTCTTCGGTTATCATACACTTGTCTAACTGTTTTTTTATATTTTTTCCAAATACTAGTATTTGGGAGACTGTTAACAAATAAAAATTAAAAATCTCAGACGGCATGGATTTTTGCCCGCACCTATGTAAGGGTAAAATTTGTGGCTCTCATACAGCAAATAACCAGTAGGTAATCCAATCTTACATAAGTACAAGTATGTGTTTAATAGTTTGGTTATTTGTTCTGCCCAAATTGCAATAAAAAGTTTTAGGTTAAAAGGCTTTTGTTGTATAATAATAATAACACCGTTTTTTGGTTTAAGCACAATGTTTTGTTACAAATAATAAAAGTAGCGTCCAATAAACATAAGATAACCCAAAAAAGTACAGGATGTTCCATATATAAGTTGAACCCCTTTAACTTTTTTATATGACTGCCCAGCGAAAAATGTTGTACATGAAAGTTATAGGGACCAATATTAAGTTTTCCATGTGATATTCTTTGCATATAGCGTGTCTCAGAAAAATGTTATCGAATGAAGGTGTATTTTTTAAATGGAACATATACAGGGCGTTTCAAAACTATGGGATCAAGCTTGTAGGGGTTATTCGGTATAACAGTAGAAAACATTTGAGTATAGGGACCCATATCCGGAAAAGTGTCACTACGGCACTACGGCCCTAAGATGCGTTAAAATTTAGAAAGACGATGAATTGCCTAAATAGGATTTACTGCATTTAATTTTATTATAGGTTGGATGAAGACATTTTGAACAATTGTTGAGATAATATCATGTACAAAAGGCAAAAATTAAATGCATTAAATCCTATTTGGGCAATTCATCGTATTTATAAATTTTAACGTGTCTTAGAGCCGTAGTGCCGTAGTGACACTTTTCTGGATATGGGTCCATATACTCAAATCTTTTCTACTGTTACACTGAATAACCCCTAGAAGTTTAATCCCATTGTTCTGAAACACCCTGTATAATGGTATATTTTCAGGGAACATGGTAGTCCCGATTCTTCTGATTCAAAATATATACTTTATCATACTTATTTCCATTAGTTTGGCCAAAAATTTAATGTTCTTGTGCCATTTACTCATTCGTATCAAGTATGCATCTACTCGCCTATGCAATCTGGTATAGGCTATTACGTAAAAGACCTATAAAACGTCAAAAAAGAAAACCGACAACATGTCAACTTGCTGCCTGGATAGTTACTAATGTGCAAATAGTTCATTCCACGTTTCTTCGCTATGAGCGCTATGAGCGTCAACAAAGGCGTCCATCTATGGAGGAACGACCCATCGACAAGACACGCTCAATGACCATACTGCAAGCAGCAAGTCAGTTCCCCATCATGCTTTATCGGTTGCAGAATGCCTAGATAGTCTATGGAGTATACTCTGAATAGATGTATGGTTGAGTAGCAGAATAGCAAGATCACATCCGGATGATTATATGTATTGGTCTGCATATGTATAAAATCAGTTATATTTTCTATGTGAGATAATTATTACTGAATAATATGAT